CTCTCTCTCTCTCTCTCTCTCTCTCTCTCTCTCTCTCTCTCTCTCTCTCTCTCTCTCTCTCTCTCTCTCTCTCTCTCTCCCTCCCTCTCTCTCCCCCCCAATTCGCTGCTGCTACCGGTGCCGGTGATGACGACGTGTCAGTCGATGACGATGGGTCCGTCGATGAACTTCCTCACTCTTCGTGTTCCTCTGCGGAAGATGAAGCGCTGCTGCTGCTAGACTCATCGTCCTCTTGCACTCGCTTCCTCCTCTTTTTCGGATGTCTTTTCGGAGACTGCGAGACTGCAGTGACTTTCTTCTGAACTCTTTGCGCCTTCCTCTTCTTCGCCTGCCGAACAACAGCTTGCTTCTCTTTCAAGGTCACTGGCAGTGTGAGTGTCTTGTGTCCCTTGCCTCTTCCACCTCTTGTCGTCGGTGCCGCTGTCTCCTTTGACTTCTTCTTCCCTCCTTTCTTTCTGCCCGCCAAACTCCTCACTTGGCGCATCTTGCTGGTATCGATTTCGGGCGGCAAGACTGACGCACGCCGTGCTGCTAAATGTTGTGGTGGGTCAGGTCGTCCAACCTCAGCATCTTCGGTCCTCATCCTGTAGACCATGCCCTATGATCCTTCCCCGGCCTCCGTTGGGATGCCCTCGCTCAACTGTAGACCGGGTGGGGTTGGTCCAGTGAATGTGGCCCAATCAGGAGTCTGCTCCTCAAAATCAATCCGCATTGGGGACATCGCAGACAGGTGTTCACGGAAGTCCTTGTCGGAGCCGCTCCGCACAATGGGGTTCACGTGGTGCAAGAAGGAGGCGAACCCCTCCCCCATCCCCAACCCCGGGTAAGGAGTGGAGAGCACATCGCCACCCGCAGCCTCAGTGACCTTTGCCGTTTCAGGAGGCGGGTCGTCCATGTTCGCACCGATGTCTCCGTCCGCATGCTCCGCAGTGCCACCAAAATCCATATCAACCTCCACCGCAACATTGTCCTCGTGAACGTTCGCCGAACCCCCGTCTGTCGGCTCGCGGCCCGTGGGTGTCTGCTCGAGCACAGCTCGTCAATGAGGGGTGAGCTGTGCGCCCAAAAGTGTGTTGGTGCCCTGTACTAAAGCCACACCACCTGACGCGGAGCTCCGTCGTCGTGTACGCACACCGGCGTCGTCCGGCAACGACACCGAAGGAGCCCCCGAATGGCCACTGGATGCAAGGACTATCATGATGTCGTTGTGTCTAGCGAAACATGGGTCGCCGCCCGAGCACCTGGTGGCCCGAATGTCTGCGAGCCACACATCGAGTAACTCGTCATCACCCTCGCTATCGTGGCTCTCCTCATTGTTGTCATCATCAGCAACAACGCTCTTCCTGTGATCGTCATCCACGACACGGCGAGGGCGGTAGGAAAGATCAAGGAGTCATGCCCCGTCGTCCACCCTCTCCTCCAGAAGCTCACAAACATCAAATTTGGTGCCCTTCGATCTGCGGCCGCGAGATTTGGACCAATTAGCGACCCTCCTCTTCACCTCTGCGGGGTAGTACTCCCCGGCTCGCATGAAACCATCGAAAGGCGCCTCGTCCTCTGGTGTCTCCCACTCGAGCTGCTCAGTGTTGATGAATCCCATCTTCGCCCTTGACATGAGCAGCAGCTTCTTGTTCCAATGGATGAAGACTAGCATCTGCAAATTCTCCGGGCTCAACAAATTTCTCCTCTTCGTGTGAATGAGGTCGAACGTGGACCAGTTCCTCTCGCATGGAGAGGCTGTGGTCGACATGCTGAGCACTTTGACTGCGATCTTTGTCAGGGTTGGGTGCTTCTTCCCATACGTCAACCACCACTGCGCCATAGACACGTGCTCGCCTGTCAAAGCCTCCTCAGAGTTCTTGCCATGCCACTCCGGATCCATGTGATGGAAACTCTCAAGGGAGTTCCAACATTCTTTGTATTCCTTCGAATTCTTCGGGTGAACCGAAGTGAGTCAAAGTGTTTGCGATATCCCCGAACACATAGTCGTCAAACAGTCGAGGTGATCAGTCGAGCGGGTGCAACACCCACGCCGCTACATGCACAGGGAGAGCCATCATCCGCACACGGTCTTTCACCTTCGCCATCACGAACTCCCTTGTCTCACAATCCATGGGCAGCATGGTCATTCTCTTCTCCAACGTGATCCCCAAAGACCACACGTGCATACCCATCCTCCCGTCTTTGTCCATGGACTTCATGAGGGCATAAACAGGCTCGAGCAAGGTAAATGCCTGCTCCACAGTCAACCACTAAGTTGGGCCACGTATGAGCTCCTTGCAGGATCAAGCCCGTCCCACTATGGTTCGGTCCAATGGAGAGTCATCCCACCGCGGGTTGGAAATAGTCGCTAGCAACACCCCCTTGCACTTCCAAAGTCGATCCAACCAGGGGAGACTAGCCGAATCTAGTCTCCCCTGGTTGGATCAACTCCAACAGCCTCCTGTCTTTGATACCCAACTAAGCCCTGTACTCCCTCACAGTGCTCCGAAACATCGCCAACGGCCCGCTGATGCCCTACAGGATCACCTCCCCAATCCATGGCACCAAAGCAATGTCACACATGAGCAAGTTGCAAACATGGCATGCGCACAGCACCCATGGAATGCTACGGATCACAGGGTCCTCGTGCTCAGCCAATATCTTCCTGGCAGCAACGTCGACCGGTGCTGAGTCGGTGCAAATGGCGTTGACCCTATGCACCCCCAACTCCCTTATGACCTCTTCCCACATCCTTGCCAAAATTGGGGCCGACTTATCCTTCCTCTCCATGTCCACGCTCCTCACCATGACAGCCCCGAAATCACCAGCTGCAAGGAAGTTGATGACCGGCCTATTGCTGGTCGTCATTGCACCATTTGTCATCAAGGTCAAGCCTGTAACATCCCACGGTTCACGGATCTTGTCCAAATCTTGATCCACAGCTTTGTACTCCGTGGGCAGGGCCTTCGTCCTCAAGTGCTTGTATCCTGGCAATCGCAACATCTTCCTCGATCTAGCCGTCAGGTTCATGATCCTTTCCATGTTCTTATACGAGTTAGATCTCGCAGCATTGAAGGCAATGGCATTCTCAAAGAAGAAAGAGGCAACTGCCTGGTCAAACTCTTTCTGCAGCTCATCTCTGCAGCTCATCCACCACGAAATTGTTCATGCACGACTGTTGTCCACCGGATGGAAGTCGAGGAGGTCGACCGGCAGCTAGAACACGACCCCGCAAGTGCTCAGCGATCTCCAATTGCAGTTCAGGGCCCCTGGAAGTCGGAGCAGCCATGTCGGCGAAAGATGTAGAGTCAAAACCAACACCCCCCGCCCCCCAAGCCGTTGAACCTGTGTCACGCCTGCCGTCTCCCCCTGTCGAAGATGTGTCGAGCTCCGCCGATGCACCTGCTTGATCACCCAAAGCAAGATCCTGTGGATCCTCCGCAACCCGTAGACAGCCCTGTTCCTTGTAGTAGTCGTTCAATTTTCCAATCATTTCACGGGGGATTGGCACCTTCGGGTGGTCCGTCCTGATCAAAGCCAAAATCTCCCCGGCGGCACGCGGACAGCGGGCGGAGGTGTGTGCCCGCTGCCCAACGATTTTACGAATCTCCAAAGCTGCGACTTGACGAGCGTCCTTTCTCTTTACCAGTCTCGAGCCCAAATAGTCCTCGATCCTCACCATGGTGGTCGCAGTGGAGGTAGGTGGTTGGTAGGAAGAAGAGTAAGAAGAACAGGGCGGAGGTGTGTGCCCGCTGCCCAACGATTTTACGAATATTAAAAAAAAAAAAAAGTGGAGGTGGATGATGGAAGAAGAAGAAGAAGAAGATGGAGAAGACGTAGAAGAAGATGGAAAAGAAGATGGTGAAGACGTAGAAGAAGATGGAGAGAATATCAATAAGAAGAACAAGAGGAGGAAGAAGAAGAAGAAGAAGAAAAAGAAGAAAAAGAAGAAGAAGAAGAAGAAGATGATGAAGAAGAAGGAGAAGAGGAAGGAGACGGAGAAAAGGGATGGGAGGCCCAACGATTTTTCAAATATTAAAAAAAAAAAAAACTGGAGGTGGGTGATGGTAGGAAGAAGTAAAACATGGTGAAGAAGAAGAAGTGGAAGAAAATGGACAGAAGAAGAAGTGGAAGAAAATGGACAGAAGAAGAAGTGGAAGAAAATGGACAAAAGAAGAAGTGGAAGAAAATGGACAGAAGAAAAAGTGGAAGAAAATGGACAAAAGAAGAAGTGTGTGCCCACTGCCCGGCGACTTTCCGAATTAAAAAAAAAAAAAGTGGGGGTGGGTGGTGGTAGGAGGAGGAGGAGGAAGAAGAACAGGAAGAGGAAGAAGTAAAAGATGGTGAAGAAGAAGAAGTCAAAGGAAATGGAGACACGAAGAAGAAGAAGAAGAAAAAGAAGAAGAAGAAGAAGAAGTTGGAGGAGAACTTGAAGAAGGAGAAGTGTGTGCCCACTGCTCGATGACTTTCAAAAAAGAAAAAAAAAAGTGGGGGTGGGTGGTGGTAGGAGGAGGAAGAAGAAGCAAAAGATGGTGAAGAAGAAGAAGTGGAAGAAAATGGACAGAAAGAGAAGAAGAAGAAGAAGAAGTGCGCCCACTGCTCGACGATTTTCCAAAAAAAAAAAAAAAACTTTGCTGGGTGGTGGTAGGAGGAGGAGGAAGAAGAAGAAG